TAATTAATAAATTATAAAATTACTGATATTTATTAATTAATAAATCAAAATAAATTTATAAATTAATATTTTTAAATACTTGTATCCAATTATTTATAAAAAAATTCACAATATTTATGTAGACTTAACTATGTCCATTAATCCGAGATTAGATCATTTGATATTGCCGAGGCAATCATTTTTACCAACTGTCGACTAAAACGACGTCGTTATTTATAGACACCCCTACAAAAAAACGACACCGTTTTACTTGTCTTGTAACGCAAACACCAGAAAGTACCCTAGCAAGATACTTGTAAGGAGAGATATTTGTACGTACTTCATCTTCTTCCTCAAATGGATCGTAGAGTCCGGCATCGTAAATGGACCTCTTGCCCACATCGGAGAGAACTATAAAAGACAACTGAGAGTGTTGAGAATAAGATACTGAATTTTAAATCGGCGGTTAACAAAGGGATTTTGGTAACGATACCTGAGTAAGCTTCTTGGATTTGCTGAAACCTCCGTTTGGCTTCTCCGGCCACCCCCGGGTTCCTCGCATTTCTATCCGGATGCCATTTCTTCAAAGTACCAAAATATACTAAAAAAATTAAATTCAGAATTTCAAAAAAAAAAACATAATTTGTACGCATGGACATTTTAATAGAATAAGGTTTTTTTAAAAATACTACACAAAATCAAGAAAAAAGATTCAGAAAAAACAAAGAAAGCAAAGAGGCCTTGCTGGAATTCATCCTCTCTGCTTTTGATTTGGGGAAAAATAAAAACGGAAGAGAGAAAGGACGGCGGCGGTGTTCGTGATTACCATGGCCAGGTTGCGATAAGCAGCGCGGATGTCAGAGAAGGAGGCGTCCTTACGAATCCCAAGAACAGAGTAGTAGCAAGATCCACCTTCGGATCCTCCTTCCCGATCCATGTCCACCGTTCGGAATCCCCTCTTCCCTCACACAGAAAACCGTCACAAAAACGCTTCTAAACTCGAATTCTTCCACCAAATTGAACCATATACAGACACATTAGAAGCCCCCAGCCACCGCGACGAGCAGAAAACGGTGAAGAAATCGAACTGCGATCAAGAGAAATCGGGGTAGTCTTTTTTTCTGCGGTTTGATGCAATGAGAAAGAGCATTTCACCTTTCTTTCTTGAAAGGAAACTACGGCTGTGTTTGGAGAGAAAGAAAAGATCTTCCTCCGTCCTCAAGGATACAATGGAAGAAGGTTCGAGAGAAAATATCTTCTCCGTCCCCAAGGATACAATGGAAGAAGGTTCGAGAGATTTCGGCCTGACGATAGTTTCTCAGATCAACCTAGATATTTTCTGGGAAACTTATATTAATGCCACTTGAATTGAGGAAAAATTACATTTTATGCCATTACGTGTACACAGGTTTCGATTCTGTCTCGAGTTTGCGTCTCTGTCTCTGACGCAACTAAAAGGATAGTACATAAATATATTTTTTAAGTACTTTATTTTTATAACGAATTACACTTTAGCCTTAAACTTTACCTTTTTTTTTATTTTTTTATTTTTAACAATTTATAATTATTTATAAAGTTAATTACAAATGGTAAGAAAAAAAATCCGTGATTCAAATATACAACTCACGAAAATAAACCGTTCTAATCCAAAATCTAATACCACTGGAGTTGGAGCGGGCAGTTCAAACTCTACCCTTTTTGGTTTAAAAGGCAAAAAGAAAAAGAATGGAGCAGAGGTAATTTTCTCTAGCTTGCTGCCTGCTTAGGTTAAAATTATAAAAAAATTTAAAGTGAAGTTCCTTCTTTTATTATTATTATTATTATTATTTAAATAAAAAATTTATCTCCTTTATCTCTTTTCTCTCAATTTAAATAAGTAAAATTATTTAACTATTTAATAAAATTTTCATTCATTTCCTACATAAAAATATGATAAATTAATTTATATGTAAAAGTTAAATTAACATAATTAAATTAGACTTGAAAAAACATTTTAACATCATTTATATAGTATATAAAAGGATTACTTAAAATTAAATCTATTTGTATCGTATTGCAAAAACAACCAATTTGGGGTAAAGTGAGTATATTTCATATTTTATATGTAATAAAAATATAAATTCTATATTTTCTTATCCTTGAATTTAAATTAAAGTACTAATCTAAATATATAATTTGTTATTAAATTTTAAAAAAAAACTATGAAAATAGTTCTTAAAAAAAGGCTAAATAACTTATTTTCATTTTAAATATGGATTCTTCATAACCTAAAAAGGTAAGAAAGATTGATTGAGATCACAAAAAATCCAGTAGGATATGAATAGATCTTTGGATCATAAAGGCATGAGATTCTGGGGAATAATTTTCTGTATTATCTTAACTTTGGTTTATCATGCACCCTTCATCTTATTCACA